CACTGGAACTTGCTCTGTAGACCAGACTGGCCTCAAACTCAGAGATTTGCCTGTTTCTGCCTCCTCAGTGCTGGGATAAATAGCAGAATGTTCTCCTAACTATATATAAAGAATGAAGATATTTTGCATAGTGCTGAATGCAAGAAAATAAAGATCTATCTTTATATTTCCCCCATGTGACTTTGTGAAAAAAATTCTTTACACAAATATAGAGACGAGTCATTTGTCTCTCAGAACTAATTACCTAGCAATTTGTTGATGGTTATGGCAAATTGTTTTCAGTAAAAACATAGATTGGATCAATAACAGTATTTTAGACACATAAACTCTCTTCTTAGTTTAGCTTTTATAAATGTTGCTGTTTCCATGTGGATTAATAAATATGTTTGTTTAATACTATAGCATTTTGTCCATGTTCTATGTCACTTTCTATTATTTAAATCAACCTTAAATTTCACCCAAATCTCCAAAATATTCTATGAAATAAAATATAATGACATGTCTTCAATTCTTCATTTCTCCAAGAAGCATAAAGCACAAAGCTAGAAGGGCTACATTAAAACGACAAGATACAGAAAGAAGATAACAGGAAGAGAAAGTGGACAAAAGAACAAGGTATCCTGATCACCTTCACAGGGAACTGGGGATCTTTCTATGTAGAAAAGTATTTTAAGTATTGTAGACATTATTTCTAGAAAATTGAACCAAATAAAAATGGAAGAGAAGATGACCATTGTAGGTTTTGAAGTACTCTGGATTTCAAAACTTGTACGAACAACGAGAGTCTTCTACATAACAACGAAAACTAAGAAAGTAGACACCTCAAGTTTTCTATTCTAGAACTGTTCAATAAAGGGTTTTCTGTGGTGATTCAAATAATGAATGGAGTGTTCCAATGGCAAAATTTATTAAATAAAAGCATTTGGTGGTCACCGTGTAGGAGTTTCTAACAAGTTCTCTTTCGTATAAAAATAAATGGACTGATGTCAATTCTTTCCTTATAAGTAAAATACTGATGTAACCTGCTCCGCCTCCGTGCCACGGGCTACTGATTAGTCACACACATTTGGAGCAATACTTTGCACTGTCCACTGTCTTCTGAGAGCACATAAAAAGAGAGTCTTCTAAGTTAGAGGAGTGAATGAGGATGAGTTCCAAAGCTCAGAAAATGGAATTAAATGATGGTCACTCCATTCCTGTACTGGGTTTTGGCACCTTTGTGACTGAAGAGGTAACAGGGCTGGTGTTGGGCTGGTGAGGACTGGAATGAATACAAATCTAAAAGAATGGAAGTTACCAATTCTTGTGCAATTCTGGAGGGTTCCTGGTCCACTGCTTCACTAGGTTAGAGCTATGCCTTGTAAGACGAGAGAGGCAGACTGTGTGTCCAGAGTTTGATCATGCGATCATTCACTATTCTGGTCTGAATACCAAAGATTTTCCTTCTGTTTTGATCTGTTTCCCAGAAAAGAAGAAAAATTAAAACTTACTTATTAACCCTATCTAATAATATATATAATAGTCATTATATTTGTTTACCATTGAAATGTGTTTATTTAATCCATTCATGCATTTTATGTGTAATTACTTGATTTTTGTTCTTAACTGAGTTTGATATAAATTCTAGATATTAGTCTTTATGAAATAATTGATTGACATTTTTTCCTCTTCCGTAGATTGCCTTCTTTTCATTGTTGGCTGTTTCCACTATTATGCAAGCGATTGTTAACTTAGTATTCTGTCACTTGTGTACTTTTGCTATTTTGTTCTGTGCTTTGGAAGACAAAGACAAAAATTGCCTAAGCAATGTTTTAAAGAGATTCCTTCATGTTTTTGATAGTAGTCTTATCATCTCAGTTCTGATATTAATGTCTTTGTTTGCTTTGATTAATGTTAATATTAGGTAGCAGATTTCAGTCACATTTCCATCCTCTGTGTGGGGATATTCAATGTTCCTAGTGTCATTGGTTGAAAACCCTGTGTTTTTTCTTATTCTTATTTAGGACCTTGGTTGAGAATCATTTGAAGAATAAATTCACTTCTATGAAGTCTAATCCATCCCATTCATCTATATGTTAATTTTTATGTCAGTGCCACAGTTTGTTTTAGTTTCCTACAAAACTCCTAAAAGTAGCTATCACTTTTCTGGATATGCATATATCATTGTTCTCTTTCAGATCTATGGCTTTTTAATTTTTTCCCTTTTGTTAAGAATCTAATCTCATACAATATATCTTATTACCTTCCCTGATGACAGTTGAGAGATTAATCTAATTAATCTATAGATATAAGGATAAGTCATTAGTAGCTACATCTGTTTAAGTTTTTCTCTTAAGTGGCCTATAACTGGTCTGATCACAAATTCATGATCAGGATACCAGGTTTGGGATTTGGCTTGTGGGCCAGGGATTAAAGTAAAAAAGCAGCTAGTCTCATAATATTATGACACAACCACTATGTAGCAATGTGTGTATCTTCCTAAGTCGTTATTGAAGCTTGCAGGGTTTGCATATATATAAAATGATGATTACTTTTCTCCTTCAGTAGTGATGTTTAATTCTTGATTTAATAATTAAAATACTTACCTTTAGATTTCTATGAGATTACAAGGTTAAGAAGAGTCATATATATCCAACTGATGAGTTCCCATGTTTGGTTTCTGAAGTGCTTGATAAAACATGGAAGTATTTTTCATACTAGTTTCATGGTTTTCCTCTCTCCCATCCAGGGCTGCCATAGTCACATAGGTGTCTGTAGGAGCTCCCAAAGTCATGATACACATTCAGAAGATCTCTTGCTACTCCCCTCTGAGGCTTTTCCTTCAGGACAGCCATTATCTGCTTAACTTTTCCTTTTTAAGAAACATTATGATTATTATTTGCGTGGAAAAACCTTTAACACTGTTTCGTAAAAGAATGTTTACAGTTATTCTATTCCTCTTATCTTCAAAGTTAAAGCATTTAATTAGTGAATAATAAATAAACAAGTCTAGTTCACCATTTTTAATCCCATTTGGTAGACAAGACAATAATTTAAATTTTGCTTTATTTATAATTTTCTTAAAATTATGAATTTTGTTGTAAAATCTGACAACTACTTGAATTTTTCCTTTGTGTTTGATCTGGATAGATTCTTTGTATAAATCTATGTCTTTTGAGGATTCATCTTCATTGTGCATATTTATTTGTGATGTGTATATTATTTAACTGCTTAGAAGTTTAACATAGCATTTTAGTCACTATTTTCAGATTAGACTCAGCTAATAGCTGGGAACTTAGATCTCTTACCAATGTTGTCATTGAATTAGGAAAGACCCAGTAAAATGTGGATGGATCCATCACTCCAAGCAGAACTAAATAGAAACATGAGGGGAAATTGTTTGTTATAAAAGCCACTGCTTAGACATTGAACTACTGCTGCTCCAGGGCAGTCTTTAGGAATTGGCACCATGGCTGAAGACATCAAGACCAAAATCAAGAACTACAAAACTGCCCCCTTTGACAGCCACTTCCCAAACCAGAACCAGACCAGGAACTGCTGGCAGAACTATCTGGACTTCCACCGCTGCGAGAAGGCAATGACCGCAAAGGGGGGTGATGTCTCCGTGTGTGAGTGGTACCGACGTGTATACAAGTCCCTCTGCCCCGTATCATGGGTCTCAGCCTGGGATGACCGCAGAGCAGAAGGCACATTTCCTGGGAAGATCTGACCTGGCTCCACCCACCTCTCCTCTATTCGCGCTCC